AAATAACAAATGTTCGTTACGATGAAAAAATTGTTTTTTTTTTTTTTAAATAAACTATTTAATTCTTTGAAATTTTCTTTAATACAGCTTACTGAAGTTATATTTGGTTAAGGTAAAAATGACTGTACAGTACGTTTAATCAAAATATAATAAACTCTGTGTTTTGTTTGTGATTTATTTTTATCATTTTCTCCAAACCCTTATTCACTTTTAGGCTGGTTCCTGAAAAAAAAAAACGTTAAATAGGGGTTCTAATGCAAGTAACAAAGTTCCATTGATTCAAGAAAACAAAGGAAAATGATCAATTGTAAATTAAATGATAAACAACAAAAACCACATAATGAAAAATACTACTAACTAAAAATAATTGTAAAATTTATCACTTAATAGTTAGAAATTAAACTTTATTAGTTATAATTTCTATAATTGTCGTTTTAATTAATGAAACTTCTAAATTTCATTTCCTTATTATGTTTCATGAACATATATAATTTAGTATCAAAAATAATATCTTATATAACAATTTTAAATATAATATCTGCTTCTAAATGATGATCAAATTTATAAATTTAAAGTAGTAAAAGCTATTAATTAAAAATAACTAAATTTATTAATAAAACTGAAATTTTTAAAAATATTTTCACAAATACCAGCAACAAATAAACTTCTGACAATAAATAAAAACAGAATATGAATTTATCAAAAATTATTTATTTATTTATCTTTACAAATAAGCAGAAAAGTCCCGAAGGACACAAAATTAAAAAAAAAAAATGAAATTTCAGATTCATAAAACTTATAAAAATCGATTTAAAAATTGTATTTTTAANAAAAATTAAGTAGAAACTTCTGTTACCTTTTGAGGCTTTATGTTATATGTAGGAAGCCTTATATTAAATTATACTAAGCAAATCTTACTTTTGTTAGATTATGCTAGCCTTACTTCTTGTTTGTATTTTAAGCATGTACTGTACAGTACTTCTTTATGTTAATGTATACAAACTTTAAGTCTTATGTACAGTACGTTATACTGTACTGTACATACTTAGTATATGGTATTGTACGTAAGATTATAATATATAAGCTTAGACCTATATACAATATACTAAATACCTGTATATGGTTATATACGGTGTAAGGCTACAATAAAGTATGCTAATATTTGTATAGATAAAGTAAAATGTAAGTTATAATACAATAAAGTATGCTTAACATGATTACATAAAGTATAAGGCTTATAGTAACTGATACCAATTCTTAACTGACATTATACTATGTATACTAATTTTCCATTAACATTATTCTAAAATTTTATATAATTAGCAACAGCGACATAAAAAAACTTAAGGCTTATAGTAACTGATACCAATTCTTAACTGACATTATACTATGTATACTAATTTTCCATTAACATTATTTTAAAATTTTATATAATTAGCAATTTTGTAAGCGTACATTTGAAATAAAAAATTCATTTCTAATTATAAGTTATATTGTTTGAACAAATTAAAACGATTAAATTTGCATAGAATTTTTGTGTTGAAACAACTTCGCATAAATGTTTTTAATTCATAATGTTTGTATTTGTTTAAACATTTAATAATGTAAGTAGTAGAAATTTCGACTTCAAAAAAACAATAGCTATTGTTCTGTCTAAGAAAGAAAGCTGTCAACAACTTCACAAGTTCAACAAAAGACTTTTTCATAACCTATTTCGTCATTTTTAATGATGATGATGGGAAAATATCCATTACTTAAAAATAAATTAGTAAATAATAACTATTTGCAAATTCGTAAAAAAAAAAAAAAAGTTTAATTTTGATTCAAACTTTTTCCCTCCTCTCCTTTAAATCTAAATTGGCATTATATTGTTAGGAATTAGCATAAGATTTGCTTGAGAGAACGAATCACACTATGAAGATAGATATACAGGATTTATTAATTCTGGAGTATTCCCTTTCTTTGCATTAATCCTGTATGATTCGTTCTCTGAAGCAAATCTTAAGCTAACTCCTAACAATTAAAAACGAGAACAAGAAACAGTCGAGTGAAAATGGCATTATATTATTTGTGATTTTCTTTTATTCATATTTAATAATAGCATAAAGATTTTGAAGAAATCTAATAAGTCTGTAACTTTTTTGTGAAATTGTGAATAAAGAATGATCATAATGCATAGTGCAAGTCAAAGGAATGAATTTATTGTAGTATCATAGAAAAGAGCACTTAAATGTGAAACATTAGTTACGCTATAATTCGTTTTTAATTTTATTCCATTTGTAATTTATGCTTGAAGAAATCTTGAAGGCGAAAAAATATTTTTTTTTTCTTTCTTTTCAGCTTTATTAGTGAAATTTCTTTTTAAAAAGTTCGTTAACGTTGAATTTTGTGTCCTTTTTTTTAAAAATTTGGCTATTTTATAATTGATATAAACTAAGAAAAAATATTCAAAAATTATCAAAAAGCAAGACTCAATTTTGGGAGTTAAAATTAAATTTGATATTAGATAATGATTTTCTCCAATGTCGAAATAATTTATTCTATTATTGAAACAAAACTCAATAAGTGCATAAATTGAATACAACTGCAATTAATAAAACCGATTCTTGTCAATTTATTATTATTTATTTTCAATACTTACGACAATACTACAAGTTTATAAAGACATGCAGTGTGTCGGTTTGTACACTTATTAAAATTGTTACTACTATTCTTTTTACTAAAATTTTAAAATTATTTATTGCACAGTCTCTTTTTTTTAGTAGAAAAATATTTACTTTGGTGTGTGTGTAATGTTAAATATGAAAATTTTAGGAAAATAGTCTCCTATTCTTAAAAACATCGATATTTTCTGAGACTTTTCGTATTTGCAAGTAAAACTAAAAGTTTTCATTAAAGAAAGCATTAGTTTTTAATTTTTATTGGACATGCAAATAGTATAGATCTGATTTGTTTATTTCAAACTTCCTAATTTTAGATTGAAAATTTTTCTGCTTTCTCGTAAAGAAGGGAGAAAACTAGCATTAATTTATAATGGTTAATCTTGAAAATTTTTTCCGTGATTTTTCGAATTTCGAGGTTTTTTATAATACGATTTAAAATAACTTATTCAGTTTTATCACATTTAAATACTTTTTAAAACAGTACAAGTCAAGATTTTTTGCATTCTTTTCTACAATTGTTTCAACAAAATTGCAATCTAAGTTTAAATGCCAATACTAAAACCAAAGCTTACTAATTTGTAACATGCTTATTATTACATACAATAACTCGTGTGTATTTCTTTTGTACTGTTGCTTATTCTTTAATTACTTTTTCATTGTATTTTTGGACATCATTATTTTTTGGTACTATTGTTTCTTTCATTGCCATTATTCGAAAGATACTGTGACTATTATTTCTTTTAAAATAATTAGGATTTTTTTTGTATTTCTTGGAAATATATTTTATAATTTAAAAAAAACCAGAGATAATTATTCGAATGCATTTTATGTAATATGTTTTGAAATTGAGAAACTTTACATGCTACATCTTTGTATATATATTCTTTTACTGTGATTTTATTTGATCTATAATGTTATAATGTCAATTACAAAAATCCTTTTTTCTGAAAAACTTTTATGCAATATAAAAGTTCCATTTTTTAGGAACGTATTTATTTATTTTTGAACAGAAATCCTCCGAACAACGGCCTAAGTGGATGTTGTTCAGAAATTTGACTGCGTATATGTTGTTATAAATTTACATGTATCAATATATATTATAGAAACACGTAATGGTATTTATATAATAGCTAAATGAATAAAAATTATTCCTTTCAGATAAAAAAAATTAATTTACATTAATTATAACAAGTAACGCGCTTGAAGCTACTACAAGAAAGTTTGTTAGAAAATAGGAAACTCTGAAAAAACATAAATCTAATTAAATTTAATTTGCAAGCAAGATAAATTAACAAACAAATCATCATCATAAAATACTTATAGCAATTAATTTAAAATCGAGAGCCTGATTAAAATAATAAAATTTAATTTTCATTTATAGAAGAGAATCGGATACAGTAGTTATATAGATTTACTCTTATTTGATTCAGGATGCAAGCTTATTATCCCACATAGGACATGTTTATGACTCAGAAGCAATTAATCATCGAGAATAAGACAACCAGGCTGAGATGCGTAAAATTTTATTTCGCAAGCCAGTCACGAAACTTGCCTTCCTCTAAACGGAATCTAGACTTAGGGAAGAGCAGAGAAAGTGGTCCATAAAGTAGGAGTTCGTGATATTCGGTCGTAGAGAGACCAACGCTGTATCGATGTCTCATTAGTCACGACCGACCACTCTGTGCGTCGTTATTCTAGAGCAGGCGATATCCTAATTACAAATAGAGTTTTACGGTGAAGTGGCCTTCGGTAACTAATGACGTCGTTACACTGTCGAATGACTCACTTGCCATGTCATTGGTCACAGTAACACACAGATATGGATGAAAAACTGATTACTTAAATTTTTGAAATTCTATTGATGATTTTGAATATGATCTTATAAAACAAATTCTTAAAATTAGGTAATTTGCAAGAATTATTTATATTTAATTTCTTTTTGTTATATACGATTCTTTAGATGAATGTTTTTCTAGTCTATTTATATTCTGTACATATCACATAATTTCGGGATAGAATCGTATTAAAGACGAGATTTAATTTTAGGATCCACGCCTAAAATAACGTTGCATTAATTAATATTTTAGTGATTTATATAAATATTTTAACTTTTTAAAATATTTTCAGGACAATATAAAAATACTGTAAGTGGTTAAAACACTCAAATTTTCCATATTAAAATTAATCTCGTTATNTTTAAAAAATTTCTAGATATTTTGTGTTTTAAATATATGATTGACCTTAAAAACATTAATCTAGTTGCTCGTGTCTTGAAACAATAACTAATTTTTTTTTCTAACATATCTTAAAGAATTAATAATGATAAATATTTTTCAGCCAGCAGAGAAGCTGCCTTTACTCACGCCGTTGCTACTGCAGGTGTGGTTCATGCTATCGCTCGAGCATGTAGAGATGGCCAATTATCCAATTGTGGTTGCAGTCGAGCTCAAAGGCCCAAGAATTTGCATCGAGACTGGATTTGGGGAGGTTGCGGAGACAACATTGAGTATGGATATCGCTTTACAGAGGGATTCGTAGACGTTAGAGAGCGAGAGAACAATCATCCACGAGGTTCTAAAGAACAGGGAAGAAAACTTATGAATTTACATAATAATGAAGCAGGAAGAAGAGTGAGTCTCTTGCTACAATAATGTTTGATAATTATTTAAGAATTTATTGTTGTAAATACATAGTGACTATTTTATTTATTCATTTATTTTTATTTTATTTCCATAACCATATTGAAAAATTAACACTTTGGTAGAGTAGAATTTAAGAAAAATATTAGTCGATCTCGTTTATTTATTTTTATACACTATTTGTGCAAAACAATAATTTATATCTTTTTTTAATCTCTGATTTTTACTTTTTCTTCTTAAAAAAAGATTAATTAAATATTAGTCCCCGTACCTTAAAAAAATTTATTAATAAAAAGTTTTTTATTGCTGACACCAATTCGAGTCAAGATAGAAAAAACTTATATTTTCATTAAAGATGAAACCATTTTGATTAAGAGCCTGGAGGTGTGCGGTTTTAAAAGTAGACAACATCCTATTTTGAAGTCTAGTTTAAGTTAGCAGAGAGACTGTTGGCGAAGCGCAATAAACCATTTAACTTCACTCAAGCGTTTGGTGGTTGCTGCTTCCTTTCCTGTAGGGCGCAATAGGACCGCGGGTCTCGACTTTCTCGCGAATTTGAAGTGCCCGACGGTCATTCACTCTGCTGACGGTAAATAGCGACAAATAATCCAGCTAACAACAGCACCTGGGAACTGGAGACATAGAAACAGCACGAGCGAGGAGATAGGGATCCCGTCCATTGAGAGGGACACGTCCCTTGTTGTACATGACATAAAACAGGATCCCGCTTGTTGGTTGGATACGCTCTGCTGAATAGGAGAGACATTCTCTCCACTTTCGACACATGGTCACAGTTGTAAGCCTGGGGGGGTTTGTCTTTGTCGGTCCGGATCGTAACATCTCTCTTTAGCTAACATTGTCTCCGTTTTGCTGTCGTTCGACTAAGATGAGAGTGCTCTTCTCATCGCGATAACGCCTATCGTATTCGGAAATAACTCTACTAACCAAATGTTAATGGATATGATTGTCTAGCTTTTTCAGGAGGTAAATCTTAAGCTATTTAAAAAACATACAGTACTTCACATACTATGGCTTATACATTCCTTTTTAAATCCAGGCTACACTTAGACAGAATAGTTTTAAACTTATTAATTCAAATGCCTGTATGTCCTTATTTTCTACCAGTGAAATACGTCCTATTAATAAGCTTAGTCCTCGTAGTCAAATATTCAACAAATTGTAGTTTTAAACTTGTCTATACTGTATTTAATAGCGATATTATTGATTTGTATCTTTTTATCAGTTTAAACTGAGTTATTCCTTTATCTACGTAATCTAAATCTTATGTAATTCATTAAATTAATATTTAACATTACACAAACAGAAAAATTAGTATGAAAATGTTGAATATACAACAAACTTTAGCTTCAATTTTCTTTTCTTTTTTAAGCCATTTCATTGTTTAAAAAAAATATTATTTATTTTAAACTGTATTACTCAACATAAAAAATGACTTATTATTTGATAATTTATAACTACTAACAAATAATAATTTCAATTATGTTTGCTTATACATACTTCAAATAAAACAGAATGAAATCTTGGTTGATTGTGTTGATAGAGTAGGCTCTAACTTTACAAGAATATGAAAAATAAAGAAAATATTCCTGGAATCAAGCCATTTTTATTGATTTATTGATATTTATTTAAACTTAAAAAGAAAAAGAAATGAGAAAAATTCTAGTTATTTGTTTTAAATGACACAATAGTCTACATTTTAATTGACCACATAGCAATTTATTTATTCAAAATGATTTCAGTATCTGTTAGCAGGTTCATTATACTCTTTAATAGTCTTCTTTTCTATAATAAAGTTCTAATTTACTGAAAAAAACTTGTATTTCATACTGACGATTAAAAATAAGCAATTTTAGTTAATATAAATAATAATAAATATTGAAAAGTTTAACCTTCATAAAACTAGACTTATGATAAAGACAAGAAACAAAAAATTTATGAACAGTGTTAAATTACTGTAGTTAAACTTGACAGATTTGACTTACTTTTTTAGAAAAGATTCTTGAAAAATTCCATGGTAATTTCAATATTTAAGAAATTTTAAACGAAAAATTTAATATAGCTACTGTGAAATAATAATTATTTGCTAAATATATAACACACATACAGAACAGTTACAAATTTAAAAAATTAATTATTAAAAAAATAAATTTGCATACCCATTCATATCGTGATATTCATACGAAGATACAGAACCCCATTTAATAGATGAAGAAATTAAGTTTCCTAGTTGAAAAAAGAAAATTTAAATAAATAAATAATTGGAATTATATGATTTATTACTGTCAATAAACATTATTTTTCTATTTATCTGCATATTTATCCAATTTTTGACATCAAACATTAATTCTCCTTAGGTAAAAGAAAGGGGGAAATTAAATTTTACATTGAACAGAAGTAAAAATATTGGATTTATCTCTATCTTTATCTCTAATATTGGATTTAGCTCCATCTTAAAAATAATATAATAATGCATTTTACTGTTCAAAACAAGTTAAGTTCATTTAAGTGTCATATTCTATTAGTACTATCCTCATTATTATTTAATTGAAAATTAAAGGTAAACTGAATTTAAATGAAAATCCATTTCTTAATTATCCAAGATATTAATCATTTAATGAAATTTTTAAAATAAATCTAATATTTAAAATAATTATTAGACTTCAGGTATAATTAATAAAACTCTTGAATAGTTGATATTATTCAAATTATTTTCCTAAAATTCGATAATTCTAATACAGTATTGTAAATATATTTGAGTGAAATTTCAATAATTAAAATAATTTTATTAATTTTTAATTATACTCACCCATTGAAGAATTTACGGAAAAGATTCCGCAGATGAAATTATGCGTTGCCAAATTACAGATGTGTTTACAAATTATGATTCGAAGATTACATCTTTTAAATTAATGAGAAAATTGCAAAAATTAATTCATAAATTGTGAGAATGAAAATTTATAAAGCTATAATAGTATTTAAATAAGGAAGTAATTTAGTCATTGTAATGGTTAACTGACTTTCGGACCACAATATAATCTATATAAAGTGATCCGAAAGTCAATTAACCATTGTAATGACTAAATTACTACCTTATTTAATACTCAGTTATAAAGATTAAAATTATTATTGATAAAATCAGATTATATCATTCAAAAACTATTAAAGTTTAGAAAATATAATTTGTGTGTAACTATTCGTGTGTATAACTAAATATAATTTGTGTGTCAAACGATTTGTGTGTAAATACACAGTACGGTGTGTGATATAAATTATTTATTTTGAGAAAAAAATCAATGATATAATAATTATTCATGATAAACTGTGTTGCAACAGAGACAGTTTGTTATACTCTTATGTTCGTTCATATGAAGGAAAAAGTATGGAATTAATTCTTGAATTATTATTATTAGTTATGGTGTCAGTGGTATTCAGAAATTTTTTGTTGTTGATTTAGGTATCATTTCACAGTATCTACTTTTTAGGCCGAGATGATTAAGGCGTCAGCCTACATCTTTGGAGGATCCGGGATCGAATCCGGGTGATCAACCCCAGTAATTTTTCGTGTGTGGTCTGTCTCGGATATGTTTGGCTCCTCACCACCCAGCGTTCCCATTGTGGGCCTGGCCGTACCCACAATGGATATGATATAAAAAGGCCTTCTTAGTGTCCACAGAGCGAGAAGAGTGTCAAAAATAATGGAAAAAAGTATCTACTTTTGAAAACCGAGAAACATTTTTCCCTGGTATTTAGCTGCGGAGAATAGAAATGATGTAATTAACTTAAAATTTATATGTTTTATTAACCAAAATCTTGGACATCTGTACTTCAGACCATTACAATTTTCACGCATAAATGGAAGAAACAACACTTTGAAAGATTCATACAATTCAGAATTACCAGTACGTTTAACAATTTCTATGGGAGTCAAAACAGATAGAAAACTTAATTTCTTACTTTATTAAATGGACAAGTCATGGTCGTGTTTATATCTTCGGATGAGTATCCAAATATCAATGGGTATGCAAATTTATTATAATTTAATCTAAGAAAGTAATGCAAAATTTGAAACATTGGTTAATGCCCTTGTATAATATACTATTTCATTTACATATTATTTTCGGGTTAGAACTTGAGACGCTAATTTTCTTCGTTCTCTTCCGTATGATGTTTGTTTCCTTTAGATATTTGCAAATCGAGCTTTTCTTATATTGAAGCTTTTAATTTTCACTTGATGCCGCTGCATATCAATGAATTATCCTCCTCTACGTTCAGTATGGAGGATATCTTTGCACTGTTTGTTCGTTTTCTGTCACGTTATTTTAAATATGCTTTTTCTCTGAAAGCTCAATAATATCTTGTATTTAATTTAATTGAAATATTTATTTTAATTTATGCACTCCTCCTCTATTTTTCTTTATGTTTCGTGTTTGAAATTAGGTTGTGAATTTATAATGAAACTTTTCCGTTTATCCTTCTATTTCGCTTCTCAATCTTATAGTTTGCGATTGTTTAAATTGATTCGCAAATTGTATGTTTTGAAATTAATTTGCAAATAATTGCGAAGCACTTCTGTAATTTGCAGCGCACAATTTCATTTAAGGAATTTTTCCGCTAAATTTATCAGACCACAACATTTAATAAATCTATTATTATATTATCATAGGAGTAATTAATAAATAGGAAAATTAACTAATTATTTATTTATTACTTATTATTTTATTTATAATGTTGGTTAATTCTCATAGAGAAAAACTAAAATTTTTAAGAGAAACTTTAACCTAAAATTCTACGAAAGTAAAATTATAAATCTATTAAAATTCAATGCAGATAAAATTCTTTTAAGTAAAATATCAAAAATTTTTTTTACTACAAATGCATTAAAATTTTATATAATTAGCAATTTTGTAAGCGTACATTTGAAATAAAAAATTCATTTCTAATTATAAGTTATATTGTTTGAACAAATTAAA